GGATTTCTGTCGACTCACTGAACAGACATGCGAGGTTAAACCCACTCTGCTGTTTCACTCCCTTCCTCGCTCACTCTCAGCAGCAGAACAGAGGGAGTGCGTCTGTGGGAGGTGTTCCAGTAGCACCAGAGCTTGTGGCCTGAGACGCTGAACCCATCGTAGCTCATGCACTGCCTTCCCAGGACACACCCTGCACACATTCACACACAGATGCACACACATGTGGCCCATAATGACACAGCTGAACTCACCACTGACCACTCAGTAAAACAAAATCATGTTACACGCTGCGATCTCATGGGAGGAAAACCCCTTTCAAGCTCTTTCACCACTGAGGAGATAATCACACGATTGCTGATGCTTTTTACGTCATGTGCCGTTTCCTTGAACCCCATTTGGCACAAGGGTTTGTGAGAACCAGCCGCCCTACGCGGGACAGGAGCGTTCACAAACCTCCGCCCTGATGGTGCTACGCAGGCAGGTAACTGGTGTCGTCTATCAGTCAGGTCAGGACAGAAACACACCCACACACACCATCCAACTGTCACCGTGATGTTTTCTAACATCTCTGGAGGTCTGAAGGTATTAAGTTCTTTTTCCATTCCACATGCTGTGTGTACCAGAGAGAGAGGCGAGCTGTCTCATTCCCTCTCGTCGTACGACCTCCGTAACCTGTCTCTCTCACCCCTTCTCACCCCTTCATCCAGTGTCTTTCCACTGAAACTGAACCCACCCTGGTCCACTGGAATCTGTCAAGCGATGAGGGCGCAGAGCGGTCACATGGGAATATCAATGCAGCGCTCATCCGAGCTCTCGGTCAGTTTAGGGAAATGTCTTCCTCTGAGCAGCAGAGAAGCAGGTAGACACGGTGCTGACGTGTTTAATGGCACATTACCACGGTACTGTTTGGTTCTGAAGCATTTGGAGCTCCTGAATGTGAACGGACAATGTGTTTTGTAAGTGTTGCATAAAGAGTTTTTATTTTCTCTGAACACACAGAGACGTTCAGTTGGTGAACTGAAGTGAAATGCTGAAAGCAGTGTCCCGTCGTGGTGAAAGTGTTTGTTTTAGCAGAGCCTGCTGAAGGCACAAAGCCTTTGAAATCTTCATATTTTCTGCAGGAGGATTTTGAAGAAGTAAGAAATAACTTCAGAGAATCATTCTGAAACCACGGCACCACACGGACCCAAACCTTGTGGACTTTCCCGTCACGCATTCTTCTGTATAACTGACAGCAGTGTTGGGAAACTAGGCTAAGCTAATCCATGACACCTTTTCTGCTTGCCAAGCAGTAGACTGACTTTCTCACAAGTCACCACTGGCTTTCCTGAGGATCCATTTTAGGGCAGTGGACAGAAATGCTGCTCGCTGCTCACAGCGTCTCTCATGACTCCAGACTACCTGCAGACAGGTTCTACTGAAGCAGCTCAGATTGCCACCAGAGTCAAAAACCATCTGGCAGCTGCAGAAACTACCACCCAACACTCCTGATCTTGTTCGGAGCAAACCGTTGCCATGCAGTCGGGTAATACTTGACAGATTTGCTTGTAGATGCACACCTGCTCTACACACCTGCAGCCTGACACTTTGTCTGGAAGCAGTGTCACATGAAGGCTGTCCTTTGTCAACCATGATGACTCTTCTGACAGGATCGGGCTTTCATTGGTTGATTCCTAGTAGAGCAAATGCCCCCTCAGCATGGGCCACATGTGTAAAGGTCAGTTCCTGGTTCCCACATGTGCAGACTGATGTGGACCTTGAAAGCGGACAGTGAGTGCTCATGCAGTTATGTTCATACGACTGTTGGCTTCAGACAGTCACATATACTGAACACAGAAAAACACACAAGCCTCTTATGGATGTTTCTGAAAGGCCGGCTGTGATTTCGTCCTTTTTTTTTTACCACCGCTACTCACAGACTGGCCGTAGCACCGTGTTCATGTGATTGTTCTGGGGGTGTGCTGAGCGTAGAAGGAAGATTTCTGGGACATGTAGGACTGCGTTTGGGCACCACTGGTGGAAAGCACGACACCACGAATCGAAGCACCTCCAAAGTCTGTCATCGATTCAATATCAAGTCTTTCAGTTGTGAATTCTAAATGTGTGGATGGCAGTGAAGCAGTGTATGTTCTGGGCATTGCCTGTTTTCCTGGAGCAGATGCACTCAGCGCTCGGACTGATGACAAATTCATGTCACATGTATCGCTGCCGACACTTGCAGACATATGGACACAGAAAGCATGAATTGGCCTTAAGTTGGATCTAAAAGAGGCACAGAGTGGGCTTTGTCTGCTCTGCTGCTGAGTTTGAGTGTGAACATGCTTTAATAGCTGCACTCTGTACTGCTGCTGCTGTTCCTGGAGCAGTGACATGAGGTAGCATCGGAATTAGATTATTATTATTATTATTATTATTATTATTATTATTATTATTATTATTATTATTATTAACAA